CTCGAGATTTCGAAAACTCGAAATTTCAAAACTCTAAATTTCAAAACTCGAGATTTCAAAACTCGAAATTTCAAAAGTCGAGATGAGGAAATCGAGTCCCTAAATGTCGAGATCCTGCAAAATGAAAACTTCGATTTTTTAAAATCTGAAACCTGATCTGAAAAGCTCTGAAGGTCGAGATTCTCCTGTATCAGTTTCAAGTCAAAATCATTTCTGCAGCCATGAAAAACAAGAATCTCGAGATCTCAAATGTAGAGATCTTCGAAATTGAAAAATTGCAGAAAACGAAAATAGAGGTATGCTGTAGAATCGGTTTTGAAAGGAGATTCCAACAGTTTAATTTTTATAAAATTTCGTTCACAAACAAGATTACAGGAGCAAATCTCTATATCAAAGAAAAACAGAAGAAAAGCATAGCAGTTCTTTGTAAAAAGGCAGATCCGAAAAAAAAACGCAGATAGATTCAACCTGTTTCACGTCTCGGCTCTGATACCAATTGATAAACCCAGTATTCTAACAATCAAACAATCGTAAGCAAGTAACAACGAAGAAGCAGATGGAAGGATGTCGATATTATACACGAATCTGGTCCTAAATAAACTTCATAGTTTGACTTTACGGTTTTTAAGAAAGTGAAATTTTTACTTTTGACTTTCTCATCATGCCCCTACAAAAAGGAGATAAAGTATAGTGGGAGAGAGAAAGTGGATGTAAAGTAGGTAATAAAGAAAGGGTACAAGAGTAATTTCACTACAAAAAAAAAATCGCTTGTAGTCACGGACCGTAGTCACGGATTTGGTCCGTGACTAGTTAGTCACGGTTCTAATCACGGTTTAGTCACGGAACGTTTAAAAAAAATAGTCACGGATTTGGCCGTGACTACGTCCGTGACTTTAGGTAGTCACAGACCTAGTCCGTGACTAAAGTGTTCCGGCCAATCCATTTTCGCCTCCGGCGGGATTTTTTTTAAATTTGAAATTAGTCACGGATGGTTCCGTGACTAGTGGCGTGACTACAGTTAGTCACGGACGTATCCGTGACTAATTCCGTGACAAGTGCAAAATTGATTTTTTCAACGTTCCAAATTTAAAGTGCACCGACGATTCGTACAAAACAAGTGTAGTCACGGACACATCCGTGACTAAGTCCGTGACTACAAGTTTTATATATGCAGCCTCCGCTTCATTCAACAAAATCACACCATCTACTCCAGATAGAATTCCAGATAGAATTGAAGGATATAATCTACCCATCTCATATCATTTTTCCTGTTTATGCAGATAAGGTATGTAATTTGAATTACGTATTTTTTGTAAATCAGTTAAAAATGTAAATTAGTTAAATACATATGTAAGTATATTATTAAATATAATATTGGCAATACATATGTTAATAATTTTAAAAGATAGAGTTAAAATTACGTAAATTAGTTAAATACGTATGTAAGTATATATGATTAAATATAATTTAAATGCATATTATTAATATTAGTTAAATGTAAGTATTATTTAATTCAAATGACTTTATACATATATATATGATTAAATATAAGTATATGATTTCTTTATATTGGCAATTATTGTTAATTAAGGTGGCCTAATTTAGGATTAATAATGATTTAAATTAGGGTTAGTTAATTTAATTTAAATGTGTTTATTATATATATATGCTCAAATTATTGGATTTGTTCATATTAATTAATTTAGTAAATTGTTAAATGTGCATTCTTAATAAGATTAAGATGTTGATAATTTTAGTATTGTGGATTAAATTAATGCCATTAACGTATTGTGCATGTTTATAGTTTAATAATATTAATTATTGGACGTTAGTTAATTTTAAGGGAATTTTAGTGAATTTTAGTGAATTTTAGTGAATTTTAGTTAAATTTTAGGCAATTAGTTAATTTTAAGGGAATTAGTTAATTTTAAGGGAATTTTAGGGAATTAGTTAATTTTAAGTGAATTTTAGTGAATTTTAGTGAAATTTAAGGAAACTAGTTAATTTTAAGGGAATTTTAGGGAATTAGTTAATTTTAAGTGAATTTTAGTGAAATTTAAGGAAACTAGTTAATTTTAAGGGAATTTTAGGGAATTAGTTAATTTTAAGGGAATCTTAGTGAAATTTAGTGAAATTTAAGGAAATTAGTTAATTTTAAGGGAATTAGTTAATTTTAACGGAATTTTAGGGAACTAGTTAATTTTAAGGAAATTTTAGTGAAATTTAGTGAAATTTAAGGGAATTAGTTAATTTTAGGGAATTAATTAATTTTAAGGGAATTTTAGTGAGTTTTAGTGAAATTTAAGGAAACTAGTTAATTTTAAGGGAATTAGTTAATTTTAAGGGAATTTTAGGGAATTAGTTAATTTTAAGGGAATTTTAGTGAAATTTAGTGAAATTTAAGGAAATTAGTTAATTTTAAGGGAATTAGTTAATTTTAAGGGAATTTTAGGGAATTAGTTAATTTTAAGGAAATTTTAGTGAACTTTAGTGAAATTTAAGGGAATTAGTTAATTTTAGGGAATTAGTTAATTTTAAGGGAATTTTAGTGAATTTTAGTGAAATTTAAGGAAAGTAGTTAATTTTAAGGGAATTTTAGGGAATTAGTTAATTTTAAGGGAATTTTAGTGAAATTTAGTGAAATTTAAGGAAACTAGTTAATTTTAAGGGAATTAGTTAATTTTAAGGGAATTTTAGGGAATTAGTTAATTTTAAGGAAATTTTAGTGAACTTTAGTGAAATTTAAGGGAATTAGTTAATTTTAGGGAATTAGTTAATTTTAAGGGAATTTTAGTGAAATTTAGTGAAATTTAAGGAAACTAGTTAATTTTAAGGGAATTAGTTAATTTTAAGGGAATTTTAGGGAACTAGTTAATTTTAAGGGAATTTTAGTGAAATTTAGTGAAATTTAAGAAAATTAGTTAATTTTAAGGGAATTAGTTAATTTTAAGGGAATTAGTTAATTTTAAGTGAATTTTAGGGAATTAGTTAATTTTAAGGAAATTTTAGTGAACTTTAGTGAAATTTAAGGGAATTAGTTAATTTTAGGAAATTAGTTAATTTTAAGGGAATTTTAGTGAATTTTAGTGAAATTTAAGGAAAGTAGTTAATTTTAAGGGAATTTTAGGGAATTAGTTAATTTTAAGGGAATTTTAGTGAAATTTAGTGAAATTTAAGGAAATTAGTTAATTTTAAGGGAATTAGTTAATTTTAAGGGAATTTTAGAGAATTAGTTAATTTTAAGGAAATTTTAGTGAAATTTAGTGAATTTTAAGGGAATTAGTTAATTTTATGTAATTAGTTAATTTTAAGGGAATTTTAGTGAATTTTAGTGAAATTTAAGGAAACTAGTTAATTTTAAGGGAATTAGTTAATTTTAAGGGAATTTTAGGGAATTAGTTAATTTAAAGAGAACTTTAGTGAATTTTAGTGAAATTTAATATATTAATAATACTCCACATATAATATGTTGGTAATGTTTATAATTTAGAGTTTTTAACCTATATAATTTTTTATTATAATATTCAGGCATAATGTATAGACAAAATAGAATTTGGATGTATGATAAACATGCGGTATTGTACGGAATGCAATCAAATTTTCTTGAAGGAGTTGAGGAGTTTATTAAATTCACACTTGAACACCCGGCTTATATGAGTGGTGATGAAATCAGATGTCCATGTTCAAAGTGTAAAAATCTCAAATTTAAACACACAGACGAAGTTGGGTGGGATTTGTACGCGGACGGTTTCCTTCCCAATTATTACAATTGGACTTCTCATGGCGAACCTTTGGATCCATCTGTTTTACCACAAACGGTAGGTTCATCTCGTAACGTCCCTGCAGAGATGAGTGCGTGGGGAGACCCTGCTGAAATGAGATGGGAGCAACGTATGGTATATGACGTATACGGTGCATCGATGTCTCAGTTCAACCCCCACAACCATCTAACGATCCTCCTGAAGCTTCGACCTCGTATCAACCACATGAGGATGAAAATCCGATATTTTATGAACGTTATGTGGATGAAGGTTTAGCTGAAAGATTTGAAGATGTTTTAAAAGCAGCTGATCAACCCCTGTATGCTGATTGTGAGAGATACTCTCAGCTATCCGCCGTTACAAAGTTTATGAACATAAAAGTTGAATACAGGCTCCCTGAAACTTGCATGACTAGAGTCTTGCAGTCAGTAGGCGGGATGCTACCACGTGATCATAACCTTCCGGATTCATATTATCACATGAAACAATTAATGTCTAAGTTGGGGCTAGCTTATATAGAAATTGATGCGTGCCCGGAAGGATGTATGTTGTTCTGGAAGGATGATGAGGCACTTGAATTCTGCAAGTTCTGTGGTGGAAACAGATACAAACCTATTCCTCAAAGTAGAAAGAAACTACGAAATAGGTCGGCATTGTTAAAACTGTATTACCTCCCAAAAACAAAAAACATTAGTCACGGACCAGATCCGTGACTATGTTTTAATCCGGAATAAATTCAATTTTTTTTAAATTTAACATAGTCACGGATACGTCCGTGACTACCACAAAAAATAAAAAAAATTAAATTAAACTTAGTCACGGCTCGTGTCCGTGACTAACATAAAAAAATTTAAATTAGAAGTAGTCACGGATCCGGTCCGTGACTAACGTGTCGAAGGGCTAATTCCGGTCAAGATGTAGTCACGGACCGAGTTCCGTGACTAATCCGTGACTACACTTAGTCACGGCCACTGTTCCGTGACTACGTTCTAGTCACGCGGAATTAGTCACGGAACTAGTCACGGACAAAATCCGTGACTAAATGTGTTAGTCATGGACTTTTTACACTACGGTCCGTGACTAAGTCCGTGACTACAGACGAATTTTTTTGTAGTGTTTTATGTTAAAAACTTGCCAAAAATAGAAGTGTGAAGTTTATTTTGGACCTACCCAAAAAGGAAAGTGTGAAGTTTATTTATGACAGGAGGGAGTACAATTAACATAATTTAGTTTTGTCCATTATTTCCCATTGTCATGATATGGTATCATTCATGAATCATGATCATTCACAAGAAATATATAATTACGAATTGCATGTGTCTCGTGAGTGGAAATTCTAATAAAAATATGCAAAAATTTCTGAATTAATTAAATTAGCTACTGAGAGGTAATTAATGCAATATCAATATTCAAGTAGTCTTCATTTAAAGATGACAATTGAAAAACACCATAACAAAGAACCACTCAAAGAGCTGTAGCATTCCTGCAGAATGGCTCATCGTTCGGATCAACAATGTGAAACCTTCCTTCATTAAAGAACCACTGAACCAACGCCTCCTCTAGTGTCTGGTAGAAAAGAACATTTAAAGTTATGATATGCATACACACAAACACACACACACATATAATATACTACCCAGTCCATTTTTATGTAGCCATCTTTGACTTTTTCAGTCAAAAATAATAAACTTTGATCCATTATTTTAACTAATACGGAGTATATATATTTATGTGAAAGTTTATAAATTTATACTTTTATGATAATATTTTTAACAAAGAACATTTGCATATAATTTTCATATTATCAATATTACCGTGTATTATAAATATATAATCGATCAAAGTAGTTGAACAACTTTGACTTGAAAAATAGTATCCGAAAACGCTCGAGGCGCCCGCATAGGTGCCACGCCGGCAAGCAAGGTGTAATATTAATGAGTTCTGTTTTTTCTTTATACATGTTCATGTCTCAAATTTACAGGAAGATCGATGATAGTATATTTTTAGAATTGAATAGTCAAATAGTAGACTTAGCATATCAGCACAAGAAGGAAATAATATAAAAACGGTAAAGAGCAAATAAAATTGGATACAATAACAAGTAAAATAGCAAAAAATAGATCATATCGATCACCAGAAAAAAAGTAGACCGAAAATAAACAACACTAAAGTCTTTGAAAATAATATGCATCGTATTAATAAATAAAATGTAGATTCTACGGTACCCATAAGGTACCATATCTTTGTCCACATGGACCAATGAGAATGTAGGAGTTGAATTATTTAAATCTAAATTAAAAATGATAAGTAATGTGGTCTAATCAAATGAATGATAGGTACGATACCCCATTTTTTAGAAAGTTACCGGAGTTGTCACCTAAATAAAATATTCCTTAAGTAGTAAAGATGGAGGGAATACCTTTGACTTTGTGTTTTGGGGAAACATGGGTACCTTCAAGCCCTTCTGATTGGGACCGAAGGAATGGCCAAACTGGGAAGTTACCACATACCCATTAGTGGCCGACGGAGTAGGCAATGCATTTATCAGCTGTTGCCTGAAATCTACAAAAACGTACTTTTCGTTAATAAACAGCATATGCTTATAAGAGTAAAATTCATTATTTTCGCTAGAATGTAAATGTTAAATTATTTTCGCTAGAATTATACATCATTATCTCTCCATCTCATTTAGTCATCTTAGTTAGTTATTTTTTACTTTTTCAGTCAAAGTTTTTTTACTTTGTCCGATAATGTATTTCTATACAAAAGTATTTAAATTATGAAAGTGCTATCATTAATGTTACTAACTAAAATGCGATGGAGGTAGTTTGAAAGTGAAGCGGATATGGTATTATTTACTACTGAGTAATATACTTCCATAAAATACTTGACCAAAGCCATCATTCACCATCCCAATAAAGTCTAAAACGGTAAACTTTTAAGGGACTCCGTACTATATATTACATCCTAATTTATGATTTTATATTTAACTGATATGACGCTTTTAAGTTGAAGAATATTAATTATTTCGGTGTCAAAGCTTAAAGTGTGTCTAGCATTTCCAAATCTTGTAATAAATAATAAATTATACCTAAAAGAAGGATTATATAACGAAAATGCTAAAGAGTACGTACACGTTCAATGTTATGAGAGAAGCTCACAGATTTGGATGCATTATGTATAATTCACTTGAATATAAGGTAGGGCAATATATGGATTAAAAATAATAACATGTACAATTTACGTATGACTGTACAAAAATACATTGTAATTTTTATAGAGTACATAATTGAAATTAAAAACTTACCTTTTAGCAATTTCATATCACTTGGAGTCTCCTTTTGATACAGTATCCGGTCGTGTAAGCTTTCAGAGAAGGCAGTCCGTATCTATGGGAAAATATCATAATTAAAAATATTTAGCAAAATTAAATAAATCACAATAAAACATAACAACAACAATAATAATAATTCAATCATAATAATACTACGTATATAATAAGGTGCAAGGAGCTAACCTGATATGAATCAAAGGCCGAATTCAAAAAGTAAATTGGGGTTTTTATGTACTTCACCAAGTGTTTTGGAAAGAAGCACTGCACATACATAGTTAGTATAATTGCTTACTTAATTAATGGAATTCAACTTGTAAGTAAAGAATATATATAAATTAATGTACCGATAATGCACTTCTTTTGGATATGCACTCGGCCGGTAGTGCATTGGCGCTTTGCTGCAACCCATGTAATATTCCAGAATTTAATTTTTAACTAGAGAGAATTGCCGAGCAAAACATAGGAAAAATACAAAAATAGGAGTATCATGTTTTGAACAGGAGTAACTTTAGTGTTTGGACAAGTATACCCCTACCCAAGCCCCAACAACTTTTAATTAAAACCGTAGAAAAATAATTAAAAAATTTATAAAATATTAATAAAATAAAAAATTTTAAAAAAATATTTTTTAATTTTTTTTTTAAATTAATAAAAAATAGTAAAACTCCACAAAAAAATTAAAAAAATATGGATGCCTTTCTCATCGCTTGTACTACCTCCCTGCACCACCACCTCCGGGCGGTGAACAAAAATTCCATTTTTCCTAAAAACTGTCTTTTTTCTGAAAATGCCAAAAACATGGCATATTTCTCTTTGCGAATGTCAACATTTTCACTGTTTTCTGCCATACATATGGCATTCGTAATGAATTTGGCATTTTTTCCCCTGGTGACTGGAAGAGGTGGTGCTGAGGCGGCAAAGGCGGCGGTCAATTTTATTTTATTTTTTTGAGTTTTTTATTTTTAAAAAAAATATATATTTTTTTATTTATTGAAAAATAAATAAATAAATGAATTATTAGTATCGAATAAGTCATAAATTAACTAGGTTAGGATTAAATAAGTCATATTTTAGAATTAATAACTAGGTTAGTGATATTAATGGTACAAAATTAATGTTTACTCCTATTGAAAGAAGTTTTAAGTTTTAGTCTTATTTGTATAATTATGTTTATATTTACTCCTATATTGGGCAATTTCTATTTTAACTACTCCTCCGGAGTTCGGACGTATGTATCAATACCGATTAAATCTGCTTTCAATGTGGGAATTTAGTTAATTACCTGTAATTCAACAACTATGCCAAAAACAGTTTTCAAGAACTGGGCATCCAGGGGATTCCTCCTGCAAATACAAAACCATAAACATATTTAATTAAGTTAATTCCCTTATTAATCTAATTTCTGAATTATATATACAAAAAAAATTGAAAAATTATGTTTCTACACTTTTTAGATCGACGTATATATGTCATCTTACAGTTTCAGAAAAAATGAACTATCAGCGTAGCACTTGACGTTCACAGTGGGGTGGAATAGGCTTCGAAAATGATCGCAATGAATCATTGCACCTATTCCCCCTGCGGAACCTCCAGCAAGGATCACCTGTTGCAAAATTAAAATTTATATATGCATGTGAAAATTATCAAAATCAGGACTTTAACGAATAAATTCACTTAATTATAACAAAATTAATTAAAAAAAGTCAAAGTTCAGAAATTTACATTTTGTGCATCTTTCATGCCCGTGGCCATTAACTCATTAATGACGGCTTTATATATTCTTGCCCCTCGGTAGAAGAGCTTAGTTTCCTGATAAAAAATAAGTGAATCAAATTTATATGATTGCAATATTATTGCACTTATTTAATAACGGAGGTAGTATAATTCAAGGAAACAAATAGAATACACACCGGATCGGGTTGGTCGACATCGCCGGAGAATGACCCGCCGTCGCAATATCTTACGACGACCCGGTTCCAGTTATAGAAGTAAGTTGTGTTTTTTTCATCACTAAAAATCCCCTTAAACAGGAAATCACGCATGTAGAAGGAAGATCCCACGTCCGATTTGGCGCGATCAGTGCAGCTGCCGGCGTACGCCTCTGTGTGATTCTCGTATATGGTGCTGTTTATACACCACCCTCCTCCCTAATTTAGAAAAAAACCTCAAATCAAACTTACTCAGAAAACTGTATATAGTCTTTAACTCAGTTTACCTAGCTAACGTTGACTTAAATGAAGTATAACTATATGTTGATTCGCAAACATCAGCAGATTCGACTTCCAAGAAATTATTATTCACGAAATTACGGATAGAGATCTTCCAATTTAATTTATATTGCGTAAAAAGTGGAAGTCCTACCAGGGCTGGTTCTGAGGGGACAGGCGACCGCCCTAGGCCGAAAAAGTTAGAGGAAAAAATATGTCCAAATTTTTTTTCTTTATACTATTCCGTTCTTAAATAGGTGCAACAGTCAACAGTCAACATTTCACATTGCCGAGACACAATATTGACCATTAATATATATAATTAAGTATGAGTAAAAAAATTAAAAAAATCAGAATTTGAAAATTTACAATGACATGAATTTAACAATAATTTTTTCAAAAAAATATTAATACATTAATAAATAAAATGTAGTCAAAGTAGAACATATGAATAGAGTAAAATTTAACATGTTGCACTTATTTAAGAACGGAGGAAGTATATAGTGTGAGTAGGCTTCGATTTTATCCTTACGTTCAATTAATTAGGCGTAGTGATTAATTTTGTTGACAATTTGAAAATTTAAAACATAAATAAAGAGTCTTAAACAGAGCCAAGTTTAAAAAAGAATATATACATTAATTTTTAGCAGGATCGGTTGTAGTTTTTAAAAGAAATACAATTGTTGCTGCATAAATAAAAGATACATCTCTCCCGTCCTCACATCTTTTTAGATTTTAAGATTTTTTATTCAATTTAATTATAACATAACAATTTTATATAATTATTTTAGAGCCCGTTTTTCTCAAATCTCACTCCAATTATTCATTTGTTTCAAAATTTCAATAAACTATATCTGAGTTTCTAATAGTTATTTTAGAGTGCAATAAATTTGCAATCATCTTGTGTGAGTTCTCTTGTCAGCCAAACATTTTGTCTCTTTGAAAATCTTCATTCTTTCGAGACTTCAAACTTTAGACTCTCATCATCGGTCAATGAATCATTCTCAACTTATAAATTCAATATGTGGTACTATTTCTTTTCAAATCCTTTCAAAAGAAAATTTAGTGTTGTTATAGGTGACAATTTTATTATTTGTCATATTTATTAGTGGAAAAAATGTTGCCTATGAAGCAATTATTGATGATTTGCTTCACATTGTTCTACGATAAACGATTCTAAGTAATATCATTTCTTATTATTCGATACTCGTGTTGTTATTTTTGCCCAAATATGTAACGTAAATAATAATAAACTGATTCTCGCTTTTATTTTATGAAATTCATTTAAGTCATGGATATAAGCCCAAAATAGAGTAACGCCTATAGGCCCAGAAACGGACATGACCGACTCTGGCTCCTCCCGTGCATTTCATGCATTATTTCAAATTGTCGTCTCACATATTTATTTTAAACTGAACAAGTTAAACAAAGCGAATTATATTTTGAGCCTGTTTTGTAACACTAAAATTGGCTGATTCTGCTGAAATTTATGAAGTTCTGGCTGTATTGGCTGATTCTGCTGATTCATGAAAAAATTATATTTAAAATATTTATTATTAATAAATTAAATAAAAAATTATATGAAAAATTAGCTAAAATAATCCTCTACGGTAACTTCAGCCAATACAGCCAGAAAAGTAACCCCAACCTTACTTTTTCTTCTTATTACAAAATTCAACACGCGAAATCAAAAGTTACGTGTTTGGTGAAAAAGCTGACTGACGTTACTGTAGATGACCAATTTAGCTTTTTTTACATATAACCTTTTCATTATTTTATTAATAAAATATATTTTAAAAATATTTTTTTCGTAAATAAGTTGAATCAGCCAATGGAGTCACTTCAATCAAAATTCATAATTTCAGCAGAATCATCTAATCACCCGATTTTTTTGTTACCAAACGGGCTCTAGGTTGTGAAGGGTATTGCTGACTAGGTCTTGACGTGTTGACATGTTGTATAAGTGTAGTTACGTAGTGCTGAATGAATGTAATACCTTGATTACTCGTGTTTAATTTAAAACTTGTGATAATTCCACTTAAAAAGTCTCACAAAATGAAATTTAAAGTATGTGTTGTCCCAAATAAAGCAAAAAAGCTTTACTAGTTACATTAAATGCAACCACAGCGGTGTCTACGTCCAAAAGGTTGAATCCCCAACCCCAAGGGCCCCCCACCCCGACCCGACAGGATGGTGGGGGAGTAAATCATGGTGACTCAGTCGGCAAAGCGGCAGTAGGCCTTTACCCGTGCGCACCAGAGGGCCAGCTTTATTTCAGGTTCTGAAAACCCCTTTTAGGTCGCTGCGGGATTCGAACCTTGATCTACGTCCAATTTTTCCCACCGCTCGACCAACTGAGCTACTCGTGCGGGTACCACAGCGGTGTCTACCTCTATCACAGTGTGACCTTTTTTCTATACTTGTTGGTGGGGTTCTAAATAAACGTAACAGTATACTGACTCCCTTTCATTTTACACGAAGCATATGTTACTTTGCTCTTTGATTTACCCCAAAATAAATGTTACACTTAGTTTTTTTAAAGAAATTTGTTATCTACAATCTTTAAAATTTTTTATTATACCCAAATCAAAATTATAATTTTTTATATTTTCAACCATTTTCAACCATTTTAAAGTTGTACGCATAAAATGAGACGAAGATAGTACTACGTAGCACTCTGTAAAAACTATGTACATTTTTTTCTTATAAAATATAAGAGTATCAAATTTCTCTATGTTATAATTAAATTAAATACCAAATAAAAGATAAATTGTCAGTATGTCATACTCCGTACAATTTAGGGATTTTGATAAACTTTCATATGTATTCAATTATACTTTCTCTGTTCTTTTTTAATTGCAACGATCCACTTTTCATGCTTGGCAACGAACAAGTTTGACCAATAATATCTTTCGTTCCTTATTATTAAAAAAATTAAAAAATTTAGATTTAGAAAATTTACGATGAGAGGAATTTAAAAATAGTTTTTAAAAATTTAATTTATATATTTTACATTAATAAATAAAATATTTATAATAGATTAATAAATAAAATACAGTCAAATTATAATATGTGAATAGTGCAAAAGGTACAATGTTGCAATTATATTAAAAGAGAACAACGGTATTAGTATATAATATTAAGATATATAAGTGATTTCCTAATTATTAAAGTCGTTCTTGGAGTGGGTGTGATGCATTTTTAAATCATAAAGGCATATTAATGTGCGTAATTTGGTCGTCGTATAACACGAGTTCCTTTGTGGATTAAACTCTTGTGTCTATCATTTTAGTAATTAAAATTAAATATGATACTTTATCCGTTCTTTGTTAACTATATATGGAATTATTTATAATATGAAAGTGATATAAAAATATCCCTTTAGTAAAAATTTACTTCCCCCGTTCTTAAATAAGTGCAACAGTCAACATTTCACACTTGTCGAGACACAACTTTGACCATTAATATATATAATTCTCCATTAGTAAAAAAATTAAAAAAATAGTTTTTGCAAATTTACAATGAGACAAATTTAATAATATTTTTTTCAAAAAAATATATTAATACATCAATAAATAAAATGTAGTCAAAGTAGAACATGTGAATAGTGTAAAATTTCACATGCTGCGCTTATTTAAGAACGGAGGTAGTATATATTTTGCAAAAATATAGAAGTACATTGATTAATTAAAATGATTGACAAATTTTAAATTATTGATTAGAAAAGTAAAAACGACTAACTAAAAAGATTTGGAAAAGACCAATTCCTACCTAGCTAATTAATACTCCGTAAGAAATTAGGAAAGGGGAGCTGAGGGGCTGCGACTCCCTGCGAGATATGTGACTAAATAATGGAGCTTGAGTTACCACTAATTTTTGGTATACTTAAAATATATGCTTAATTAATTTGGTATACCACTAAATACATGCATGCGACGCCAAAAATAAAAACTCCACGTTTTATTTTAAAATAAAGAAAAGTAAATATAATGATACTTAAACAAAATAAGTACATGAATTAGCGCATTAGGAACATGATAAAGAAGAAGTTGATTATAATTTTTACTTTCCATGAAGTTTTGGTAAGTAATTATAAGAACTCACTCCCAGGTGAACAAGCCAATTGCGGGCACCAGAACCGCTGCCTGCATCCCAATGGTAAGCGGGTGGGCTTCCGTCCAAACACACTATAAGCATGACCATTATAAATGTTATATCAGATACTACGTAGCAGTATTTATATATGTTGTTGCTTAGTTATACATCCATTACGAAATAAAATTGGTCATATTTTAATCAAGTATTTTACCGGCTCCATCAGCCACAGCACTTTTGATCACAGTAATGGTAACGTTCTTATCGGCTTTTGTTGGGCCAACAATCAAGGCAACACAAAAAAATAAACAGCCCAGCATTTTGGTTGGTGTCTCCATTTAATCTGCAGAGTAAACGTAAACCGCAGTAAATATATCTCCTTTATGTAGTTGGTGCATCAGTGCATGCATGATTTTCTTTCTAGAAAAAAAAATTACCATCACTACATATATCCTTTATGAAAAAACACTACTATATACGTTCGTAGTAAATGTATTATTCTAAAAGTAGCATAACAAAACAAAATAAAATAAGTAGGTAATAATATTGTAAATTGTAATACTAGTACTAGGTAATAATATTGTATTAAAAATTTATTAAAATGAAAAAGACATCATTATTGGGGATTGCATGCAAGGAAAAACTAACTCAAAAATAAGATGAAGAATTGAAGAGCTAATTAAGGACGGCCGCAGTCAAAAACAAAAGATCAGACAGGCGGAAACATTAATTAAACAGACAGAGATCGAGGTTACCCTTAGCTTGGAGTCCGATCCGGCAAATGAGTTTATAGTAGTATGGTATAAACTTGGGAGTATGTAAACTACGTCGTATAGTTTAATATATATACGGAATTACGGAGTACTATATTGTATACATATTCGTTCATTTACACACGCACATCATGATAGACGTTGAAAATCTATACAAGTACGTAGTACGTAATAATAATATTGTAAAATCTTCATAATGGCGTATATAACAGAGGAAAGGACGGATATACGGGATTTTGATGCCTCCATTCCCAAAATACGAATGTCAGCATTAGGTTACCAATTTACGGGAAACGGAGTTGGCAAATCCGACTTTTCTTAGGGTTTGCAGAGGTGTCAGCATCCCTATTTTCGGATTCTCCTAATCCGACTTTGGGTTTTATTTTCAAGGAAAAACGGATTTGGTGAATCCGAAAAGTTCAAAACCAAAAAAAAAAAAGAAATCGGATGTCAGGAGAGCACAGCCGTGTGTCAGTAGGCAGAGAAATTCGGATTTGCCTAATCCGAAATATGAAGCTCCCGGATTGGCCAATCCAAGTTTACCCGGATCGTGCTTCTTCAGCTCATTTTTCAACCGTAGGATTTAACAAACTCATCCCAACTGTCCATTGTTTTACACGGAAATCCATACTCCCAATCTCAAACTTCACCTATTTAAATCACTTCAACATCATATTCAGCCTACTACCATAAAAATAAATTTAGTTACAAAAAACTATTGAGTGTTCTTGCTAATTCTATTCTCCGAGTTTTTCAAAGAAAGGTTAGAATTTTAATTATATATTTACTCTTTACCGTTAATTTTTTGTACTGGTTGTGTTATGTCATCCTGAATATTTCGAAAATCTTAATATTAATATGTAATTAATCTTAATTGCTATTAAGATTGTTGATATATGTCATACTAAATATATAACAATAGAAATAATTAGCCCACAACTTATAATTATTTGTAGTATTTCCTTTACAGTAGTTAATTTATGTTGATAATGTAAGCACATTTACTGTTTTTCAATTACTCTAATTATTGGTTCACTAATATTTGTTACTAATGTATTAAATACTCTCACTGTCCCATAAAATTCTTCTCACTTTTTTTTTTGGACCGTCCCAAAAAATTCTTCCCACTTACCATTTTTGGACAATTTGTGTGGTTCACATTAATTTGACCTTTTTCTTACACAACTACAACCACACTTAAAGTGTGAAGAATTTTCTAGGACAGAGGGAGTACTAAATTAGTGTATATGGTAATTTGAGACTACGTTGCGATTACAATTTAAATTTAGTTTAGTTAGTTGAACATTTTAATTTAGTCATCACTACTTATTTCCAAATAACATTATACTACGTAATATAATATAGTTCATACTCCATAACATTTATTATAATTGAGCCATAAAAGCGAACATAAATTATAATTACACTATACCGGTAAAATTTTCACAAGTTCGTCTAGACTAGTCCTTTTCTAGTTTCTGGCAAATGTTATGTCTAGAACTAGTCCTTTTCTAGTTTCTGGCACAGTGAAAATATTACTCAATGACAAGTCTAAAATTTGTATCGGTACATATAATATAATTGCACTATACTGGTACGATTTTCACAAGCTCGTCTAGAACTAGTCCTTTTCTAGTTTCTGGCAAATGTTATGTCTAGAACTAGTCCTTTTCTAGTTTCTGGCACAGTGAGAATATTACTCAGCGACAAGTCTAAAATTTGTAATTGTACATATAATATAATTGCACTATACTGGTACGATTTTCACAAGCTCGTCTAGAACTAGTCCTTTTCTAGTTTCTGGCAAACGTTATGTCTAGAACTAGTCCTTTTCTAGTTTCTGGCACAGTGAGAATATTACTCAGTGGCAAGTCTAAAATTTGTATGGGAACATATAATATAATTGCACTATACTGATACAATTTTCACAAGCTCGTCTAGAACTAGTCCTTTTCTAGTTTCTGGCACGGTGGTAATATTGTTCAGTGGATAAACCCATTATCAACCGTACATATATTATAATGTAATACATAAGACTGATATAGTTTCATTGAAAGTTTATGTGTAATTTATAATTTCATTTAATAAAACACGTCATTATAATATACATACACACACATATATAACACTAATATATGATTCTTATTGTCAGTTGAGATACGAATGGCTGCACAAATACCACTTATGGACCCGGTTGATCGGTCTGTGTTGGTGATGCCACGTTACGCGCATCGAGCGGACCTTGTCTGGAATGATGCTACATCCATGGATGACAAGTTGAGGTGTAATGTATATTGTTCAATGGTGTACAAAGACGGCCCGCGTCACCCAGGAGTGGTAGCGTTGCTGAAGGCCTCCGGCTTTTACGGCGTCGACTGCATCGGAAGGTTGCAGTTAGACTGGTCGCTTATTACGGCGTTGGTTGAGCGATGGAGACCAGAGACACACGCTTTTCATTTGCCTTTTGGTGAGGTGGGCATCACCTTACAGGACGTAGAAGTGTTGTTGGGGTTGCCCATCGACGGAGAACCACTGTCAGGACCTAGGACAAACTCGAAAGCACTTTGGATGCAAATGTGCACGGACTTCGCCGGTTTCACGCCAAACAACAAAGACTTAAACACATCTGTAATAAGAATGAATGCCCTACAGCGTTGGCCGGTACATCAGCACAACACAAATGAGGAGCTCATCACATACACGAGGGTGCTCATTTGGCAACTACTAGGTGGGTTATTGTTCCCCTCCACTACCGGGAACAAAATAAAATTGTACTTTTTAGAGTTGTTGCAGGGACCGCTCGGTGAAGCACGACGGTGGAGTTGGGGCTCAGCAGTATTGGGGTTCCTGTATTACAACATGTGCAAGGCCGCCAAAGCGAACAGGAGAAATATTGGGGGATGCTTGCTTCTATTGCAGATTTGGGCGTGGGAGAGATTGCCCATGGTGCGGCCGCGAAACGTTTTGCCATATGAGAATCTACAGGATATGCCCTATGGGTGCAGGTATAATTTGAAATTTTACATAATAAGTATTAGTATATTAAATATATTTGTAGGTCATGGTATAATAACTTATTTTTATGAAGGTGGGCATGTCGGCACAATTGGGAACAAAGTTCTCGGTATACTCTACGTATTTCTCGGTATACTAAGAAACCTAAGAAGTCTATTAAAAAAAAAATCTTGGGTTCCTCATACTTGAAAAATAAAAGAATAAAATCTTCCCTATTTAAGAGTATATGAGTTCTATTTTGGGAATAAAGTAAGTTTGCTCTTATTATTGGGTTCCTCATACTTGAAAAATAAAAGAATAAAAGAATAAAATCTTCCCGGGTACAAAAGTGTACAGATTCCACTCACTTTAAATTAAATCAATCAACTTTTAATTTTTCTGACAGATTCCCTGTCACTTCGGGAATCAATAATTCTACACAACATTCAATTTTTTTTCAACCACTTATTATTCGAAATAATTTCAACCACTTCTCCCAACCACTTGCACCCACCTAAACCCACTCCCAACTATCAATAATTTTGATCTAAAAAAAATATTCCGGGTACAAAAGTGTACAGATTCCACTCACTTTAAATTAAATCAATCAACTTTTAATTTTTCTGACAGATTCCCTGTCACTTCGGGAATCAATAATTCTACACAACATTCAATTTTTTTTCAACCACTTATTATTCGAAATAATTTCAACCACTTCTCCCAACCACTTGCACCCACCTAAACCCACTCCCAACTATCAATAATTTTGATCTATAAAAGGCTCATCACTTGCACCCAAATCCTCAGTCACCATATTCTTGATATCTATTTATCACCTTAGAGTTCCTAGCTATCTATCATCAACTCCCTATATTTCCTACGATATTACTTACCATATACAAAAAAATGGCAACTGAGCATAAAACTCCAGTTTGTGTCCACTGGAATGGTTCTATTATTATGAAAGATGATGAAGTTGAGTATTCCATTCCTCCGAGCGCAGCGCTGTTAATTAGCAATGACGATGACTTTAACGCTATAAACGAGCGGATTGTCGAAGAGTGTGCGCAGAGAGGTTTTGGAGAAATTGTATCCATTCACGGAAAATTACCGAAGTACAAAAATCGTGTGTATGTGGCATCAAGACTGTGGCCCATCCATGATGATGATACTTGGAAGCACTTTTTCCGACTTGCTGAAAGAGAGTATGGAGAATTACATATTTTCCTGGATGCCCGAAGAACCTCTATAGTCCAACCACAAATATCAACATATGGAGGAGGTGACACCCACAATTGTGAAACCTTTCACAATATCCACTCCAACGATGACGGACCATCAACGAGATACGACGGACGCTACAACCCGCATACTGTTGAACATGAAGATGGCCCTTCAACAGCATATGAAGAGGAAGAGGAAGATGATCCAGATTATGAACAATTTTCTGGAAATGACGATGCAACAACAAATTCTGACGATAGTGATGACGCTCATGACACAACATGGGCCGATATTGAGCTGGAACAACCATATGTTGAACCAGCGAATCGTGATAATGAAACTATTGCGGTCGGCAAAATATACGATTCATACGACTTACTGAAAGAAGCCGTAGCAATAGAAAATATTCGGCAATTTCGAATTTTTAAGACAGATGACAAACGTGTGAGATCGTGGAAGGCAGTTTGCATCTATGATGACATGTGTATGTGGCACATTCAGGCGGGAAACCTTCTCAACACCAATTTGTGGAAGGTGAAAAAATATCAACCACTACACAACTGCAGAGTGGATTATAAAAGAGCCCGTAATGACAGGCTTATGACGAGCAAGATCATAGCGAGTGTAATCGCTACAAAAGTGCATGTTGATCCGGACTACAGCATTAAACTCGTGATGCAAGACATATACGACAAATTCAGAATCAATGTCAAGTACAAAAAGGCGTGGTATGGACGTTTGATTGCCCTTGAACGAAGATTCGGGAACTGGGAGGCGGCCTACAATGATTTACCCAATTTGTTGCTTGCGATAAGAGAATCAAATCCGGGGTCAGTGGTAGATTTCCAACCAAAACCAACCAGTCATGATGGTACGTATGAATTTCATCGTGCATTTTGGGCTTTTAAAGCTTCCATTGATGGGTTTGAACACTGTCTGCCCGTAATATCTGTTGACGGTACTCACTTGTACGGAAAGTTCAAGGGTCATCTCTTGGTTGCAGTCGCCATGAATGCTAACCGTGAGATTTTCCCTCTCGCGTACGCAGTTGTGGAAAGTGAAAACACAAATAGTTGGTCCTGGTTTTTGGAACACATTATGACTTATGTTGTCAGACCAAATCGGCATGTGTGCATAATATCAGATCGACACCCTGGCATCCTAAGTGCCTATCAATCAGTACCTCAATTGAAAACCTCCCAAGTTTCGAAGCGGTTCTGCCTCCGACACATTAGAAGCAATTTCATGACAAAATTCAGGAGCACTGAACTGAAAAAGCTCTGTTGGCAGGCCGGGAGTACACCCATGGTGAGTGAATTTTACCAAACAATGGCTCAAATTCGTGCTACGAATGAGAATGCGTTCACGTATTTGAACGCTATTCCACGTGAAAATTGGGCACTGTGCTTCGACGATGGACGACGTTACGGCATCCTCACAACAAATCTTTCCGAGAGCTTCAATAACGTTCTAAAGGGATGTCGAACACTTCCAATCACCGCGCTGGTTAAGGCAACTTATAACAAAGTTGTCCAACTATTTGCCGATCGACGTAGGGCCGGTCAGATGTGGCGGCAAGCTGGGTTCCTATATCCGCAAAATATATGGAAAGATATTCTTGAACGTTCACAGAAAAGACATCAGTGCACTATTGTCCCGCATAACCGAACAACGGGAATATACTCTGTTTCCATCCGTGATTATCCGCCGGTAACGGTAAATCTCTCACGTTGCGAATGTGATTGCGGTTTTTGGAAGCAAAATGGATTTCCATGTGTGCATGCCTACGCAACATGCCATTTCTTAGAAATAACTGTAGATCATCTCATCCCGGACGTGTATAAATTAGGTGCGTACATCCGTACGTATGCTACAGATATTATGCCTATGCATGACGTAAGTGCGATGCCTGATACCGGATATGTAGTGATACCGCCTCAAAGTGCTCGACGCAGTCAAACCGGTAGGCCTCAAAGAACACGATTTACAAATGAAATGGATATGCGTCCGAGTAGGAGAGCACAAGAGTAAAAATTTATATGTATTTTGTAACTCTTTTTCAATGAATAAAAATTTGTATTTCTTTGTCATGTTGTTGTTCAAGATAAATGAGTAATGAAGTATTTATATTATTTAATTTTGCGGGAACATTGAATAAATTCGTAATACAATATAATTAAATATGTATATTCACTATTACAATCTCTAACATAACAATTGATTATTTCTTATTTAATAAAATAATACACATCTTTCCAACTATAAATATCACTAAATTATTTATTTTTGTACATATTATGCTTCATATGCTCTATTATTTATCCCACTCACAAATTTTTATTGAAATATTTGTGTTTTCCTCTTTGAAAAAAATGTAACTAACCAATCTAAAAAACCTAAGAAGTCTATTAAAAAAAATTAAAAAATTAAATAATTCATTTTTTTACTTTCCCTACACCTTCCGCAGCATCTTCCAGCAGTTTGCAAAAAAATTAAAACCAAATTTCGGATTCATGTAATCCGTTTTTTAACTCCCCACCTAAAGCCCTACATATTTCGGATTCATCTAATCCGTTTTTTAACTTCCCACCTAAAACCCTACATATTTCGGATTCATGGAACACGTTTCCCGTTTTTTTAGAAAACCTAGAAAAAGTCCCGTATTTCGGCAACCTATGTTCGGCATCTTCGTAAAAAAAGAAATCACCCTATATAACAATCTACGTACAGAGATAGATTAAAGATATGTTTGAGGATCGCATGCAAGAAAAAACTCAAAATGAATTGAAGTGAAGAACTGAAGCTAAGAACGCCGGCCCGCATGCAACTAGAAAAAAATTATAAAAAAAGTGAGAAATTAAAGCATTCAAAGGCAAAGGAAGAGAACGAAGTTACTACCCTTCCTTCGAAGCAAACGAGTTGAAGATGGATGGCGACCAGAAACAGCAACTCAACTCAGCAAATGAAACGTTAGAACTGAAGGAGGAGATCGAGAGAGAGAGTTTGGATTAGCAGGTAGGTTTGTTTGCGTGAATGAAATTGGGCGTTGGGTGCTGCTTTAATCATAGGAGTACGACGTCGGACGTGATACGATGGGTCATTATATTTTAAGGTGGTAGAGAGACGTACGTACTGATCGATATATACGCAATTATAGAGCATGCATGGGAATAGGGGATGGGAGTATTTACGATCGAGCTGATGATAAATGTCATTATCATGCAATTTATGGCAATCTCATTAACTATTTCGTTTGCTTTTATTTATGAGAAAATTACTACACACACAATGCATGGGAATATGGGATGGGAGCTGCTAGAGTGGAGTATTTATGGATATCTCATTGATTATTCCGTTTGCTTTTATTTATTGGTAACTACTCCACATCGATATAGTTGTATCAAGACATATATTATCACTGAAACTTCTTCACTTTCTCAATCTATTTGAAAAAGAAGCAGTACAATAAACTTGTTGATAGTACTCCTTCCGTCTCAATTTTTTTTGCAAAGTCAATATTTTTTGGTCAACCAATAATAAAAGTCAATGCTCCGTATCGATAATTAATTTAATTTTTAATAATTACAATTTATATATTCAGAAACTACATTTAGATCTTTTCAAAGTTGTAAACTCCAAATTAGAATATAATTAAAGATTGACATCATAATTAAGCGAATAAAATGAAACTGTTTGACCAAGAAAAAGTCAGTTTTTCAAATCAATTTGGGACGGAGGGAGTATAATTAAGGTTTTGACTATATAGACACCGGATGACTAACGTGAATCCTGATATACTTGTATTAAACTTTTGGCTAAAGGGTCAAATGGGAACCTGTACCGGTTGTGTAAGCTCAATTCGGTTCTTGAACTCAAAAAAGTTCAATTCACACCCTGAATCGATAAAAAATTGTTCTGATTTCATTTTTACATGTAAACAACAGGTCATTTTTTAATCTTTTTATTGTTTCTGTTTTTTATTTTCGATTTATTGCAATTTTGACACTTATTAATAGTTTAGGGGTGCAAATTGGATCTTATTTACAGGTTGTTTAACCTGCAAAAATGAAATGTGAACCTTTTTTGTCGGTTTAATACATTAAATTTTTCATCACTATTACAGAATACAGTATAAGCCTTCACGTACCATGGAAATATGAATGAGGTTCAAATAGTAAAAGGAGATTTCTATGGTACCTCTTCAAATGTGGAATGTACCATACATTTGCCTTTCTCACCCAATAGCATTTCAAGTCAATTCATTAATGACACTATTCTATGTCCCACTATTTCCATGTGTCACTATTTCATTTGCCTACACAATGAGATGCACCATACCTTCCAAATTTTCAAAGGCACCATAGCATGATCCATAGTAAAAAGCATGGGCCATCGAGACTAGAACAACATGGAAGACGAAATAGGTACAAAGTGAGTAAAAAGCTATAGTTATCGGCCATTTATTTACTCTTTTACATAAATTTGCCCTTCAAATTAAAATTAGATATGCACGGGAAAATAACTTCCCCAGCTAACGACTTCGGTTTCCTTCTTCCGCAGCGGGACATCTCTGTTCTTCCGCATCGTTCCTCAGGTGTAGCTCAATTCGACAAATTTCTGTCGAATCTCTACAAGCGTTCTTTCTATCAATTTTCGGCGAATTCCACATGTAGAATCATAATTGTTCTCCACATGTATAATCTCCACATGTATAATTGTCTCTCCTGTTGACGTTGCTCTTCAAAAATCTGTATGTTATATTCGAACAAAACTGCCAAACTTTTACAATTTCAATTTCATATTGGATATGAACGAAAATTGTTTATCGTCTTGTTATCTTCGTTGTCAAATTTATAATATTATTCTACTATGTCTATTTTTACTTTTCTGCGTGATGTTTGTTGTTTTTTGTTTCGTATGTGACTTTTGTATGTTTGGAGTTTGTTGTTTTGAATTTTGTTTGTTGATTTGAGTTTCGTATTGACTGCATGTATTCAGTTACTGTTTTTAGTTATAAGGACATTTTTATGATTATTAGTTCATTAGACATTTTGTATGATGTTGTTAATAACATATCGTGTTTGCTTTTTTGTATTGACAGTGATTGCAAACATGTTGCTTATGCTTAAGGTGGATAGTAGTTGGGACAACTCATATGTTTTCTTCAACAAACGATGCTTTGGCTTAATAGTACATGAGGGGACATTATATGTTGACTTTGCTTCCATGGTTTACTCATGTATTGGTGAATCTGTTACCAATACAAGGCTTATAATGTCTTACCTTGTAGATTCATGTCCACCTCCTGTTCTTGTTAATAATGATTCTAGCTTAATTGGGATTTTACTTGGCTTTAAAAAAATTGACACTGACTATGCTAAGTTTCCTTTGTGTGTTGAATTGTTTACTGTCCATTCTTGTGTAAATCAACCAATGTGTTGTGAGGCTTCTGCACTTGATCTTAATACTCCTTCCAAGTCACGAGTGATTAATGTCCTAGAACAAGATATGCCTCCAAATTTTCTTCCAATTGATCTCAATGTTTCTGCCAGTGTTTCACTTGATTCTCAGCCAAATGGTATTAGTGTCTCTGCTGATTTTAGTCATTCCATCCCCAATTGTAATCAGTCAATGCCTTTGGAAGATACACATTCATCTTCTAATCAACACTACTAGAAAATTAGCTTACAGTGACACTTGTTTAGTGACACTATGATGTCACTAATACGTTAATGACACTTGTATATCAGTAACTAGTGATATTATTACATCAACACATAATAGTGATACTTTAACTCAAAGTATTATTTAATTTTAGCTTTTAAAAAAATTCCTAAACCTAATATTTCATTCATAGGAGTACATCTTCCTCCTACACTCCCCCTTCTCTCATTCATACGAGTACATCTCCTTCGGACCGCCTGAAGCCAGTGCGGCAGAAATGCCGCTGGCGGATGGAATTGGTCCGACGAGGATGCAGGCCAAAATGTCTTTTGCTGCGGTGGTAAGGGATCTCATCCCCAGCCATCGATTGCACTCGCAGACTTGTTCCTTTTCCGACGCGGCTGAACTTGGCTTGTCTGGTAGCTTCAGAGGCTTTCCGTCTATCTTCTTCTCCAACGACGACTTACAGGTTCTCTCCCATCCTTTTCGATTCGCTCTCGTTGGTACTTTCCCGTTCAGCCGCCCCCCATACTTGCGATTCGTAATGCTTTTGAATAGTTAGGGTTCTCACAGCCCTATTCAGTCGGATTGCTTCACTATAACATTATTCTCATTAATTTCAAGTCCGATTTTTATTTTCAAGAATTCTGGGAAAGAAAATGTTGGGATTCCTTCAGGTACCAGATGGTGGTGACCCGATGGACGTCCGGCTTGTCTGTTGAACGGGACTCACCCCCAGCCCCAGTTTGAATTTCCCTCGACGGTTTATTCCAGAAAATTTTGTATGAAAACCTACCTTTTTCTGTAAAAAATGCAACCGTTTTGGTCACTTTGATAGGGAATGCCCCAGGGCCACCAAAGATTTGATGCCAAAGGTGGTGGTTGCTAACTGCAGTGACCCTGCTATTGGAAATCATGCTGCAGGTGATATTGCTAGTGTTTCCCATGTTGCAGCTGATATTGCTAGTGTTGCCCCTGTTACTGATACCACTGATTGTTGTCCCAAAGTTTCACTGGTACCAATGCTTTTGATGATTTGGAAACTGTTTTAACAGGTTCCATTCCCACTGATTTGGCCCATGTTTTAACTGGATTGCTACCAAACATGGTGGTAGCTAAAAGCAATGACCCTGTTATTGGCACTTATGCTGCTAATGTTCCCCCTGTTACAGTTGATTCTCGTCCCAAAGGTCCACAAGATGCGTTGGAAATTATGCCTACTATGCAGCAGGGTTTCAATGTTTCTGATATTTTGGAGAATGTTTTAATAGGTTCTAATCACACTGATTTGGCCCCTTTGCAGACCATACTGTCTACTCAATTGATAACCCAACTTTACATTTCAAGGCTCCTGCTAATACTTTAGAGGTGCATGCACTTTCTATTAACGATGTTGCTTTAAATTTTGCTGAGACACTTACTGGTGCTAACGAAATTGATTCAATTAGTGCTGAAAATAAGGATTCTAGTACCACTATGCTGGCAAGAGTCTACTCCGAGGCCCCAATTCATTCTACTAATTCTGTCCGACACCCAGTGAGTTCTGGTTTTGGTCCAATTGATGCTATTAATTGTGCTAAGGTTACTGTCCAACACCCAATAACTTTTGATGAAACCCCGGTGGCCACCCTCCATGCGGCGGTAACCGAAGGAACTCATCAATTGGTCGCCTATGATGCTAGAAAATCTATGTCTGAGGCCCGTAATGGAAATGATGAGATCCTCTCTAATTCAATGCTTGACTTTGCAGTTACTACACCTGTCCCAATCTTGTCCAGTGACGAAAATACTTGTGAGGACACCCAAATGCTAACTTTTTCTGTCCAGGTCATACTTCTGAGGACACCCAAATACTTCTAAATAACAATTTGCTTATTTTATTCTTGGAAAACATTAACTTTACGTATTCGATTTCTTGAGACCTCAACGTTACCCTAGCTACAGACAGACTGGGTCGGCGAGTCTTCCTTTTCATTGGTGTGAACTCGCTAGATTATTAGCAGATAATCTTGTTTCAGGATGTCTGGGTATTACAAAATGTAACTGGTAACTGGCTGTCATATACCTTGTTTCATTAACATTTTTGCTTTTTCAGGTTAGTTTATTGATCAAAACGTGTTATGTTTTTCCCTTAACTATTTTATGGTGTTTTCCAACTTCCTATTTTGTTAAGTCTTACCTTTTTTATTATTATTATTTCAGAATCATGATGGTGCTCGCCAGTTTATGAAATATCTGGATACTGGTCTTGGTAACAAATTTGGGATCGTTCTCCAGCATTTAGATATGGATCAACTCATTTGCCTCGGTAATCCATGTTATTGACTTTTGATTATCTAGACAAGTGGTTTATAGTGATGCTTAAGTTCAATTATTACTTCCTGCAAAACTACCTGAAAGATCCTATGGTGCTGATTGCAGAATATATGTACCCGAAAATCCCACGAACACGTTTAAGAATGTTTATGTATGGTTTCTATTTCCAGA